TTTTCATTAACAATTTCTCTTAGGGTTGTGGCAAGTGCTTCTAATTTCCTGGTTTAGCATTTAGTAAATAAATACTTATTTGATTTATGAATCTATCAAGCACCTGCATGGTGTACACAGCTCTGAGCCTCACCAGTATGATGAAAAAGGAGGTGGAGTAGGCTTTGTTTTGTTTACATCTCCAGGGCTTAGCCAGGAGCCAGGGAGGATGAAGGGGCTCACTAAATATTTGCTTGCTGAGTGATTTAATTGCAGGAGGCGAACTTGCTCATAATTGCCTCTAATTTGAAGTTGAATGAAGAAAGCCCTGTAATAAAGATTCTGGGAAATGCTGAGAGTTGGGCAGAGAAGGGGGCAAGCAAGGAGAAGTCCTCATGGAGGTGACTTTGGCTCTGAGCCTTTAAATCACCCCCAAATCCCCAGGGTGTTCTGGAAGCCGCAAGTGGTTTGCCGTGCTCAAGCATGACCCAGGAGGCAGTAGACCATGGATGAAGTGACATGATCCAAATTATGTTTTAGGAAGTTCACTGTGGTGCAAGCAAAAGATGGCTTTTCTGGAGGGGTGACAAGTGCTAGGACCAGTAAGGCGGTTGTGTCATTCAGCAGAGTGACTACCTGTCAATGGCAGAGAACAAACAAAAAGGATGACTGGGATGGCAGAACACTGTAAGAATGGCAACCTGAGGCTCAGCTTTAACTGAATAACAGGCTACATAGAAGGAAAAGGAAGGAGGAAGAAGAAGCAAGAACTGGAAATACTTAGAGGCTTTGGACCTTGGGCCTTGGTGGCAGTGACATTTCCCCAAAGAAGGACAGATTTGATAGGAACTATGGGAGAAACTATATTTTGACATCTTCAATTATAGGTGCTGGTGGAGTGTGTACACACAGCATCTAGCAGAAAGCAGACACTAAAGCTGAATTTAAGACATTTGGGAGCTTTCAGTGTAGATGGAGGAAACTGACACTTCAGGAACAGATGAGACCCGTGGGAGAGGATTTTCACTTGAGCAGAACAGAGATCTGATGGCTGTGCATACCTGGTGAATATTTCCATATCTCCTGCCCTGTGAGAGCCACAAATTCATCAAGTCCAAAACAGAATGAACCATTTTCACACCGGCCCATTTCTTTTTTTGACTTCTCTTGCTAATCAGTCTCTGTGTCACTCTGGCTCCAAATTTGTTATCTTTGTCATCTCCCCTAACTCTTGGTGGGCAATCTTGTGTGTGTGTGTGTGTGTGTGTGTGTGTGTGTGTGTGTGTGTATGTCTGTGTGTGTGTCTGTGTGTCTGTATGTCTGTGTGTGTATGTGTGTGTATGTACAGAGGGTGACTTCAGCTGTTAAGCAAGTCCTGAGATACTTGTAATTTGCATTGAAAATACAAGAACAGGCCACTATGTGAAGACTAAAGATCTGAACTCATACTTGTGCAGCAAGATTTTAACCACACAGCCATTTCTCCAGCTCACATTCTCCTAATTCTTTACACAAGCAGTTTACAGACAGACAGTTCTGGAAAGCCACAAAGCAACAGACTGGAGATATACAGGTATTTATACAAAACTATTTTTTTTTTTGAGACAGGGTTTCACCTTGTAGCCTTGGCTAGTCTACATAGGAACTTTCTATGTAGACCAGGCTGATATCAAACTCACAGAGATCTGCCTGCCTCTGTGTAATGAATACTGGGATTAAAAGTCTGTGCTATGGCACCCAGCATTTGGAATGTTATATAGTATAACATTCTGGTCCTATTTTTATGTAATTGTAGTACTGATTTATTTTATATATGAAAAGTCAAATTCTGCCTTTTTAAGGGTCATTTTTTATTGAAATGTAATACCATTATATGCATATATATATATATATATATATATATATATATATAATCATAAATCAGTAACTTTGTTTTTGAGTTTGGTTCTTTTTACGTAGTTCTGACAATCCTGGAATTTTTGATGCAGACTGGGCTGGCCTCGAATGCACAGAGATCTGCCTACCTCTGACTCCCCAGCGCTGGGATTAAAGGCATTCATCACCATGCCTGGCTTAATTCAGTAATTTTTCATGACATCAAATAATCTCCTGCAACATCAATTTTTATTTATATTGCTTGGATGGAACTGAGGGCCTTGTGCCTGCTAAGCACATGCTGTACCACTGAGTGTAACCCAGTGTCATGATTTCAATTCTGAGAGGCTGCAAGGAATTCTGTTTCATCGATGTACCAGGATTTCATTAACAAATCCCTGTCATGTACTTCTATTTTTAGGCAGTAGCATTGTCTGTCTTCTTCAATGAATGCTGCAGAAATTAACTTACATATTTAACATTTTAAAAAGTTTATTTCAATTTTTCCTTAAAATAAGTCTTAGAAGACTCTTTTTGGCGGTGGGGTTGAGACAGGATTTCTCTGTAGATTTGGAGCCTGTCATGAAACTCACTCTTTAGACCAGGCTGGCCTCACAGAGATCTGCCTGCCTCTGCCTCCCGAGTGCTGGGATCAAAGGTGTGCGCAACCACCACCCGGCTTTTAAAAACCTTTTAATTTTGGAATAATTTTAGGTTATAGAAAAATAATGAAGATGCTACAGTTTCCTTTGTCTACATCTTATATAGTACATTTATCATAATTAATACATTTTTTTACACAGGTCTTGCTATGCTGGCTGGAACTTGCTATGTAGTTCAGAATGGCCCCAAACTGGCAATTCTTCTTCCTTGACCTTCCAAGTGCTGGGCAAATAGGCATGTTCCACCATATCCAATGTCTTAGCTAAAGTTTCCATTTCTATGACAAAACACCCTGACCAAATCAACTTGGGGAGGAAAGGTTTTATTTGGCCTACACTTCCACAGCACTATTCATCACTGAAGGAAATCAGGACAGGAACTTTACAGGTCAGAAACCTGGAGACAGGAGCAGAGGCCATGGGTGGGGTGGGGTGGGTGCTGCTTACTGACTTACTCCTCATGGCAGCCTGCTTTCTCATAGAACCCAGCGCTACCTGCCCAGGGATGGTACCACTCACAATTGGCTGGATCCTCCCCCTCAATCACTAATTAAGAAAATGCCCTACAGGCTTGGCCATAGCCAGGTCTTTTTCTTTTTATAGATTTTATTTATTTACTATGTATACAACATTCTGCTTCCATGTATATCTGCACACCAGAAAGAAGAGGGCACCAGATCTCACAATGGATGGTTGTGAGCCACCATGTGGTTGCTGGGAATTGAACTCAGGACCTCTGGAAGAGCAGTGAGTGCTCTTAACCTCTGAGCCATCTCTCCAACCCCCTGGAGGCGTTTTCCTAATTGAGGTTCCCCCTTCCCTATCTCATATGACCTGAGCTTGTGTCAAGCTTACATAAAACTAGAACACCCAGGTAATCAATCAACTTTTACTACGTTATTATTGTTACCTAAAATCTATCCTTTATCGAGATTTATTTTTCATATAATACTTTTTTTTTTCTATTCCAGTATCCTTCCAGTATAAAACATGGCATTTAGTAGATGTCGTGTTTCACTTTAGTCTCTTCTAAACTTTGGCAGTTTCTTATCTTTGATGTCCTTAACAGTTTTGAGGAATTCTGCTGAGGCATTCTGCCGGCTAGTTTTCAACCATAGCTGGTCTGATTGAAAGAACTCTGGCCAGCTGGAGCGTGGCAAGCATGGCTCTGGAAGGCCTTGCCCTTCTCCCCCATTCCCTCTGCCTTGCTAAAAAATCCTTAGATTACATTCCTAAAGCTAGCCCCCAAGGTCTATTCCCTTATTTGCCTACTTCCACCTCTTTAGACTGAGTACCAAGATCCAGCTGTCAAAGTATTGAAGTCCAGCAATCAAAAGCCCCTCTGGCTCAGCTAATTAATATGCCCAATTAAAATTAAACACGGGGCTTCCCGTTTTACTTTTACAAACCACCATTTGCCTATGGGCCACATCTGTCTCCTCTCTATCCAGAGACAGTCCTTTTTCCCTCCAGGACAAATATCCCTGTCCCCTTCCCCATCTCCCTCATCCTCTATCTCCTTGCTTTGTCTCTTATTCCTGGCTCTCTGTCTCCCAGGGGCAAATGAATCTCCTCTGTGCTGAGAGCTTGGTCTTGGGCCAATACTTTTGCTTTCACCGATTTCCTCTCTCTCTCCTCTCCCTTCCTTCCTTTCTTTCTTGAGATTAGACTGGGGTTATGGGCTTTGGAAGGAAAGCACCATCAAGTGTCATTTACATTATACATCAGTGTCGTGCTATCAACATAATTGTTGATGTTAATTGTGATCCTAGCCAGGGTAATGCTCGCTAGGTTCTTCACCATAAAGTGACTCCTTTTTAGGTCCCTTTCAGTACCCCATTATTCAGAAGGAAGCTGCTATGTACAGCTCGAGGAGAAGCGGGTTATGCTTCAGGAGAGCGTATGTCTTCCACAGGGAATTTATCTCTTCTCCACTTACTGCCGTTTTCATTCACTTAGAATTGGGATTATTAATATTTCTTTTATGCTTTGAGCTATAAAGCAGTATGACTTGCTTTTCTGCTCAAGCCACCTACATTTTCATATATCTTGAGTAACTTAATGCGAAGGCAGGTGACCCACTTCCCTTAACGTCAGCAACCCTAAGGGAGAGAGGTCTTGCCTCAGGCCTAACGGGCTTCTCGCCCCAAACTAACCCACACTGTCCTTCTTTGCCTCCAGCCCCACTTCCTAGTTTTCCGGTGGCCCGCCCACCGCGAAGCGGAAGTGGGCGCACCGTAGGGCGGAAGTGCAGGGCGGGCGTGTGTCCTCCCTTATAGCCCGCCCCTCCCTTAGCGTTGCAGCCCCACCTCTCCGGCCCAGACCGGAAATGAGGTCAGAGAGGGAAACCCGGGCTAGGAGCTTCGGCCCCGAAGGCGGCGCCGGGTGCGAGCGGCGGAGCGGCTGCGGCGGCGGGGGAGGGGAAGGATGTCTGTAAGGCTGGGCCCACGCCGGGCGGGCTCCGGGTTCCGGGCTCCGGGTTCCGGGCTCCGGGTTGCGGCGGGGTGGCCCGGGACACTGCGGGGCTGCGGCGTGTGACCGAGGGTGGCGGGGCCTTGTTGCTCTAGACGCGTCTCCCCAGCCTGGGCGCTGAGGGTCGGGCGGCCTCTGCGACAGCGAGAGCTCAGGCTTGGTGTCCCGAGCAGGGGTCTCCCTGGCCCTTGAGGACTGGCTGAGCGTGGTGGGGAGTCCTCGGAAAGGCGGCTTTTCTCACCGCGGTGGCGGTGCCGTGACACCCTCCCTCCCCCGCATCGTCACTAGGACGAGATTTGAGACAGCCCTAGACAACTGACCCCCTGTCTCGGGTGAATCCAGATGAGAAGTTGTCTCTTGCCTCCCCTCCTCTCGTCAGTGATCGGAAGACTGGCTCGCTGCTTTGCGGCCCACCAGCGTCCCGTGAGTGACTCAGACCAGGGTATCCAGGGTATGCTCCCGAGAGAGAGAGACTGGAGGTGTGGGTGTGTACCAGGGTTCTCTCTCTGTCCCCTTTGAGACGCTAGGGTTCCGCGCCAGCATCTGAGGACACTTTTTGGTACACTTGTCCCACGTTAAAGTTTCTGCAGTTCTGCCTGAGTGTCAAAGCTGTAGTTCTTTGTTAGAGACTAGATTTGCTGTTCTCTCTTGTTTATCTGCTTTAGGCTTACGGACAGTTGTCTTCCAAACCCCAGTCCTGGCATTTGAAACTGCTACCTGTTGCTAAAGGGAAATGGTCTTTTTATGTGTAAGGCTTTTGACATTCCGAGGAAGTTTGTTTGGGTGGTAGTTTTTGGAGCTAGGTGGCCCCATTGCTCTCACGGCTGTGACACATAATCCAGAATACTTTTCCTGCCTTTGGATTTGTTGACATAGGGACACCTCCCCCTCCCCGTGAGAACAATCTTTAGAAAGCCCTTTGCAAAATGTAAATTGCATGAAGGGAAGTTGGCCTGAGCTCAGCTTTAAGCGCTAATTATGGGTGAGATGTACTTTTCGATTACCTAGAGCTGGGGAGAAAGTGCTATTTTAGTATACAAAGTTTAGGTGTTGTACAGATGGTATTAGACATTCTTTTGAAAAGGAAAATTCAAAAATTGCCTCTGCTACTCATACCTTGAAAGGGTTTCTTCTGCTAGCCAGAAATTTTGGAGACGCTTATCCTGCATATCCATTTAAGTTTCATTCGTGTCCTGCTTTAGTGCTGTTGGCACTAAAGCACATAATTGGGATGAGTAGTCTCAAAGTCCTATACTACAATAATAATTATAGTAAACGACTGTCATATTCTACAGTAGTCTGTGTCTAGTAACGTCCAGGTGGCATTTGGTACCTGGTAGTGCCAGATGTGGGCTTTCTTTTTTCCCCTCATTCTGAGTACCCACTTGGGTAACCACAGATTCTCTGACTATGAATACTGAAAAGCCTTCCCAATAGCTGCCACTCAGATCTCCTCCCTACCACAAGCATTTTTAGCAGGTATCCCACACCACTGGCTAGCCCTCTATTGTGACTGGACCTTGTCCGGTGCTCCCTTCCTCTACCATAGAGTTGAAATTGTGGTGTGCTGTTCCTTTCTAGGGAGACACTTTCTCATGAGCAAGCAGTCCAGGGACACATTTAATTGTAGAAAAGAGGAAGGTTTGTTTTTGCTAATTTCCCAGTTGTCATTTGGTGAGCCATTGAATATGTTGATTTCAGGTATTTGACAAGGGTCAGACACCTTATATTTGTGACTTAAGGGTGCATGGATGTTAGAAACAGAGTGGTAAGTGCAGCTGAATAAAAGGAGTCTATTTTCTGTAGCCAGGCTGGGAGCCACAATGCCATTATGTGCTCAATAAAATTATTGGAAATCAGCAGGTTGGTCTATCTGTTCAAGCTTTTCTTCTTCTTCTTCCTTTTTTTTTTTTTTTTTTTTTTCTTTTTTTTTTTTTTTTTTTCTTTCCTTTTTTTTTTTTGGCAGATGTGGCCTCATGGATGAGCTGGTACATGACTTAGCCTCAGCCTTGGAGCAGACATCTGAGCAGAATAAGCTTGGTGAGCTGTGGGAGGAGATGGCCCTGAGCCCCAGGCAGCAGAGGCGGCAGCTTCGGAAGCGCAGAGGCCGAAAGCGAAGGTCTGACTTCTCTCACCTGGCTGAGCATGCCTGCTGCTTCAGCGAAGCCTCAGAGTCAAGTCTGGATGAGGCCACCAAGGACTGCCGAGAAGTGGCTCCGCTAACCAATTTCAGTGACTCTGATGACACAATGGTGACCAAACGGCACCCAGCTCTCAGTGCCATCATTAGGAGTAAGCAACATTCTTGGCATGAATCTGACTCCTTCACGGAAAATGCACCTTGCCGACCGCTCAGGCGCCGCCGGAAGGTGAAGAGAGTGACGTCAGAGGTGGCTGCCAGCCTTCAGCAGAAGCTGAAAGTGTCCGACTGGAGCTATGAGAGAGGCTGCAGGTTCAAGTCTGCCAAGAAGCAGCGTTTGTCCCGCTGGAAGGAGAACACGCCCTGGACCTCCTCAGGCAATGGGCTGTGTGAAGCAGCAGAAAATAGGACTTTCCTAAGCAAAACAGGAAGGAAGGAAAGGATGGAGTGTGAAGCCGAGGAACAGAAGCAGGGCTCTGATGAGAACATGTCAGAATGGTAAGGTCTCCCTTCCTAGGGCAAAGCTTTCCCTGGTTAACTATACCTGAAGTGCAATGAGTTCCACTCTCTTCTGTGCTAGTGTTGCCTTTGTAGTCTTCCTGTAGTCAGCTGGTAGTTGATCTCTGGTTTACAAGGTGTCATTCATGAATCTGTTTAACTCTGTCAAGAAGGCTGTGTGTAATAGAATAATTTTATACTAAAATAATCTCAAACATGTGCTTTAAATGCATAACCAAGAATTTGTCTTAAGAAGTAATTTGCTGCTGTTTTTTTATCCCGTTCACTTCATACAAAGCTTCTGTTACTTAGAACCAAGGTATCAGCAAGGGCTAGTGTTGACAGTTGTGACAGAGAAGGCATGCAGGTGCCAGGTCTAAGCGGTTTTTAAATAAATGCAAGCTATGTTTGCTATTTAAGAATTGCAGTGGTGGTGCATGCCTTTATTCCCAGCACTTGGGAAGCAGAGGCAGGCAGATCTCTGGGAGTTCAAGGCCAGCCTGGTCTACTGAGCAAGTTCTAGGATAGCCAGGGCTGTTACACAGAGACCCTCTCTCAAAAAACCAAAAGGAAGGAAGGAAGGAAGGAAGGAAGGAAGGAAGGAAGGAAGGAAGGAAAGAAAGAATGAATGAATCGTGGCTTTGAGCCAGGTACAGTGTCACACACCTTTAATTCCAGTGCTGGGGAGGCAGAGGCAGGCAGATCTCTGTGATTCCAGGCCAGCCTGGTCTACAGAGCAAGTTACAGGACTGTTACATGGAGAAACCCTGTCTCAAAACAAAAACAACAAAATCACATCATACACTTTGGGACTATAATTATGTTTCCTGCCAGTTATAATTTGACTGTATTGACTGCATGTGTGTGTCCATGTGGAGGCCCAAGGTGGATGGTGTGTGTTTTTCTCTATTACTTTTCTCCTTGTTTTGGGGAATTGTCTGTCACTGACTGAACCCAGAGCTCATCAATTGGCTTGACTTGGTGCCCAGCAGGCCCTGGGAATCCACCTGTCTCAGCTTTCTCAGTAAGATTGCAGCCGTGCACTGCTGTGCCTAGCTTTTATGTGGGTGTCAGGAGTCTAGATTCAAGTCCCCATGCTTGCTCAGTGAGCACTTTACCCACCGAGTCATTCCATCAGCTTCTTCAGTGCCTGCCTGCCTGCCTGCCTGCCTGCTTAGAGGGGTCGGGGAGGGAGAAAGAGAGAGCGTGCACGTGCTCAAACTCAGGTCATCAGCTTGGCAGCAGGTGCTTTCATCTACTCACTGAGCAATCTTAGTCAGTCCTTGAGTGTTTCTGATGGCAGACATTTAAGTTGTATACATATATAGTGGCGTTTGAAAATAAAAACTTGAACCCTTTCATCTTTATCATATATGATAAAGTACTCTGATGGCTGTATGTTTAAGATGTCAGTGTAGTTGTGGTAACTCACCCTGAAAACATGGATACTTGGCATCTCGATGCTTTCATATTATTACTAGAGTAGAGATATGACCTCTCCATGAGGGTGCCTGGGGTGTCTGGGGCAGTTCTTTGTGGCACTCTGCAGGATGTTTAGCAGCTCTGCCGTGTTCCTCCCCCTCTTCCTGTGTCCTCTCAGATGCTGTCAGTGGTGGCTGTTAGGTGGGTTGAGTGCTGCAGGTTTGTTAAGTACTCTGTGTAGGCACAGTACTGCACACCTGCTAGATATTATTTATTCCTTACAATTCTGCTGTCGATAGAACCTCATTGTTTGTATTTTTAGAAGAGAAAACTAGGTTTAGAATTTGAGTAATTTGCCAGAGTCCCCTAGTGTCTAGACGGAGAGTCAAACCTGATTTCCAAGCTCATATTTCACCACGTTTGGCTGCCTGTTATGTTTTACAGCTGTAGCACAGGTAACCTTTCTTAGGGCCTTGTTCTTCTGAAGCTTTCACCCTCAAAGCTATGGTCCACCAAGCAAGGCTGTGTTGGTAACAGGACAAGCTATGTAGATGTGCTTCCTCCTTCTCTGAATGGATTTTAATTTGACTTTCAAACATTGTCTCACTACCTTTATATTTTGCCAGCACGTTCAGCTGTGTTGATGCAGGCTCACAGTTTGACTCTAGTAATTTTCTTCTAAGTTTGATTCTCTCTAAGACTTATTTATCCAATTTATATGAAGTTTTGGGTTATAAAGGTACTCTTCTCCATACTCACACTATTTTTAATCAAAAAAGAATTGCTTTGCCAACTTGTAGCCTTTTATAATATTGAACCCTTGTGTTGAGGTATTCAAGTTAGCTGTAAGATCAGGCATTTACATCTTAGACTCCTACAGTTGAGGATGGAGAATTAAAATGACCCTTTTGAATGTTGCTTTGTCTTTTTCTTCCCCAGAATTTCTTGTTAAACTGAAGGTATTGTGTGTGCTAGAGCCTGACACTGGGCCTGTGGTCCAGCAATGGTGCTTCTGTCTTCTGTCCCTTTCTACTCCAGACTGTCAGGCTCCAAGTTCTAATCCAGGAGAAACTGAAGTCGACAGGATTTCTTGTGAAATTCTTCTTGTTTTCACATTGAGGAGACCTGACTCTCCCTAGTGGACTTCCCCTTTGCGGCAATAGGGATGCCGAAGTCCTTGTCACTGAAGAAATAATGGGTGAAGTCACAGTGTGACATCAATCCTGTGTTGTGGCTGGGGAGGAGGTATTTTAAAAGGAGACCCTCGTGGAGGCTGGATAAAGGACTCAGCAGTCAAGAGCACTTGTTCTCAAAAAGACTTGAGGTCCGTTCTCAGCACCCACGTTGGGTGATTTATACCTGTAATTCCAGCTCTAATTCCAGACACACATTCAGTACTCTTCTGGACACACACCCCCCTTAAAAAAAGAGAGACTCTTGTGCCCTCCCTGCCCACTGTTAAGATTATTGAAACAATGGACCCCAAAGAATTGAAATTTCCCCAGGAGTCCCATGCTGGGGCAGGATGTCACAAGGTCTGGACAGCTTACCTCACAGTTAACAACGGGTATATTTCCAGGGTTATTTTATCCTAGATGGTAAAGGGAAGGGAGTTGAGACCCTTGGAGTTTTTCTCTCCCTGATTTTTGGCCAAACTGTAAATAATTCCATTTTTATTTATCAGTTTATTTATCAGGGAAAGCTAGGTGGTGAATTTATGGTTATGGTAATAGACATGCACTGAGAAAGAGTCTTTGAAATGTTCTAATTGAATCACTAGGCATGGTGGACATTCTTGTAGTCCCAGCAGTTGGGAAATGGAGGAGGAAGATCAGAAGTTCAAGATCAGTCTCAGCTACTTACTGAGTTTGAGACCAGCCTGGGCCATACAATACTCTGTTTTTTTAAAAATAAATAAGTAGAATCAAAATTTTAAAGTAATGTTAAATCACTCCTTGACTGGTCTCCATTTATCTGTAGTTACAAATAGAAATGCCTTGGATTTTTTTTCCCTATATACATTGTGTCGAGAAGTGAGCTTTCTATTCTCTTATCAGAGTCTGTCCAAACTTTCCTCAATAACCCAATAACCAGTTTCAAGCTGCTCTTAATTGTTACTTATTTTTACTCATTACTACTATATTATTATTTAGGATAGGGTCTTTACCTCAGGATGACCTTCAACTTGGCAATCCTCCTGCCTCAGCTTCCTAATGTTGGAATTACAAGCTTGTGGCTTGTAATTTGTTTTGCTGGGGTGTTGGGGATTGAACTCAGAGCTTTGTACATAGTGGGGCAGGTACTCAGCCTCACCCCAACCCCACCCTCAGGTATTAAGCATGTCTTATGAACATGGCTAACATTAGACTACAAATAGAAAATAGTTATAATTTGTATTTTACTCCCTGTTGGCAAGTTGATTATGTCAAAAATTTTTCTATCTCCTGTTTTAAAAGAAGTCCTTTCAAGAATCCCTGTGGCTATTATTTAATGAAGCTGCTTGGCTGTGCCATGGTTCAGTCACACAGAGATCACAGTGTTGAACTTTACTTCCTGTCAGTCATGTTGAGGTTCTCACCATCAGCTGTGCAGACTTACTGACCTTGACCCACCTTGTAAAATTACTGAGATTAGTTGATTATTAACCTTAGCCTAGTCTGTGGGTAGTGTTTTGGATTTGATTATATATGTTAATTGGCTTTATTTCTAGTTTACTTAAATTTGCTTATTACTCACAACTTAAAATTGCTAACAATTTTAAGCGTTGCTGCTGTTTCTGCTTTTCCTTCTCTGTTCCTCATTCAGTTGTGTTTCAGCCAAGATTGTGAGGATTTAGAAATGGGTGTGATATTATAGTTTTATTTATTTGGTGTAAGTTCAAATTATTACTGTAATGTTTTCTGTGTATTTACGGGACTGAATACTCTGAGATTTTACAAATCCTGTAAAATTTCTTCCTTGCAATCTTCATTCAGATTTTCTGAATATCACTTACTCATCAGAGATGGAGCTTAGCCTGGTTTTCTCTGCTCTGCAGCAGCACATTGTGCTCCTCTTGAATATGGTTCAGTCCTTTTATGAGCAGAGTGGTAGGGTGATGGCCTAAAGTCACATCAGGAGCCTTCCTCAGGTGATGGATTAGAGGACGATCTCACAGGAAAGAAAATAGTCCCTTGTCTTGGAAGGCAAGTGACAGAGATGGAGTGCTAGACCTGTCCTCTCCTTCCCCAGCCCAAGCTGACCTTCTGCAGCCCCTTGGTGCCTCTTGTTTTCTTATTTTTATAGAAAATCAATATCCCTTCTGACACAAACAATAGCTCAGAAGCAAGAATAAATGGGAGGATGCTGAGATCTCTGTCCATCACCTCTCACTTGAACTGCCCCAAACTCTTTAATTATGAGTGTGCTTTGCTCCAGGTGTTTGTGACAGTGAAATTGCTAAATGAGGACCATTTTAACCAAAGATTGGGTGATCAATAACATTCTATAGCAGTAGCTTGTTGGATCAATAGCATTCATTATTTCATGGTTAAGGTAAGTAGTCTCCTTTGCAAGTGGAGGTCATTAATCAGGGGTTG